ATGATGACATGGATGACCCCTCTACTGCTTCCTCCTCGTTGTCCGATGAAGAAGCCTCCTCCTCCTTTGGCTACTAGTTTTTTTCAATTTAAAAATGCAGTTTTTTCCAAACATTTTGTAAAGGAAGCCTCCATATGCCCCATTGATTATATATAAATATATATGATATTTTGTGATGAGCTACCATTTTATTTATTCCTTTTAATGCATTTTTCTCTTCTTGGTCAATAACAACAAACCACCCTAAAACTAGGGTGGAAAACATTCCTAGTTTTAAAAAAGGAAAAAAAAAAACTAGTAACTGGTTATTTTTTGGGAGTGTTTGTGCCGGGTGTTGTCAAGTTTGATGTAACATTTAAAATTAACATCGATTATCTTGTGTTCGATGTAAAATGAGTTTTCAACACCAAGTTCCATGTCAATCAATGTTCAGCTTTTGCCCTAGCTATGAATAAGGCTCACCCGCCCTTAATTCTGTGGTCTCAAAACATGGAGAGGCGCGTTCTCACCTCTAGAGCTGTGTGGAGATGGCGTCGAGCGCTTAAGTCATCTTTGATTGCCATCCATTGCCTCCACTATTCTATTCTCATTGTAGTTAACATCGTTACCGTTTCATTTCTCCCCTAAGCTATTTGCCTAAACCCTGATACTGATCTCTTTTTGTTTGAGATTAGCTTTGAATGTCTATCCATTAATCTGTGAAATAGGATGAAGAACTCTACCAAGTATCTGGTCATTCAAGTATGATAAGATTCAAGTTGTAGTACATTGAATGACCAAGTATTTGTCAGAGATCTAGCTCATCCTTACAAAAGGAACTGGCCTTCGTTTCCTTTCTCCCCATTGACCACCGATAACTCATCTTCCTACATTTATTTCCTCCTTCATGAGCTATTTTTCTAAGCCCTAATACTAGTTAGTTGCTAACTACTAAACTTTTTGTTTTTGAGTTTTTTTTTATTTGGCAAAAAAAATATTCACTCATCAAAAAAACTAACTAGTATAAGAAAATTAAATTAAAAAAGGTCCACTTCTTAGATCGATGGTATAAGTAGTAGACCTTTTCTTATTTAAACTTTCCAAGGTTACACCAATTGGTACAATAACCAGTATTAAAATCATATTTTTTTAACATCGATTTCCGGATTGGTGTAAAATATGTACACTTTTAACATCACCTGTTTCTGTACCGGTTGTCTTTCTGATGTCAATACCCATTCTAACTGGTGTAAAATACCCTTTTTTTTAAGTAGTTGATGTTCTGTTTCTATTTTATTATTCAAATTATTTTAATTACTCAAATAGTTGTAATAATATTTCTCATAGTTAATATTTATATTTTAAAATTACTACCAAATTATCTTGATGTTATCAAGACGTTTCGATACATGTTATTAATTAATTCTCAAATATGATTCAAATATGGAAAAGCAAATTATAATTCAACGGAAGAAAATGATTTTTCCTCTATAATTTTGCACTTTTCTATTGTAGAATACAAGTCATTTTTAACAAATTCGCACTAATCTAGGACCAAGAGGTCAACAGCAAGCTACCCCAATAACAACGCCCCCGTTACTCTTAAATGAGATTTCAAGCTCTAGTCTGGCGGTAACATGCTTGTTTGTGCAACTAGATTTAATTGTATAAAATCAAGGACCAACAAAAACATAAGATGTCGTTAAATGTGAATACCTCTCTCGCAGAAATGCAAATTTGGGTTTATCATATTATGAGGGACTAATCTTTTTTATTAAATCCAATCCCGTTAGTTGTCATTCTCAATCTTGTCTAGTCACTAACGAATGTTCTTTTCTGGAGGCCTAAATTACTGTGAATATTGTTTTGAATAAAACCAAAAGGCGTATATTTCTTGAATACTATAGTCTATATGGTTGAGACCGCTATTTAATTTGTATTATATATATAATATTAAGGCCAAAGCCCGAAAGTACTTTACTCATTTTTTTTCAGCGCGTTTGACAAAATTATATAGACTAAATATACAAGCTGAGACCAGTATGTCTGCTTTCAAAGCTGAAGCCAAATTATGGTCAGTAATTTTGTGCTAAAATCTAATGACAACTTGTCCAATTATATCTGCAAAAAAAAAAATTGTCCAATTATATATATATCTGTATGCATGAAACCCTTAATTTCTGGCCAACTTGTCCTATAAAGGCCCTTCAGACAGATGACTTTGATTGTGTCGATTGAATATAGAGTGGGTAGGATTTTGATTTAATGCTGTCGGTGATATTTTGTGCAATTTAATTGGCAAATAATAAAGATAATAATGTTGATGGTGATGATAAGTTATTATTAGTGTTTTAATACTCGAAATTACTGTCTAGTTTTTAATATAAAAACTAATTGAAAAGTTGAATTTAATTTTAAGTATAGTACAACAAATTACTTTGTTCCTCAAATTTATAATTTTTAACGGCAAAATATCATTATTGATTGTGAAAAATTCCCACGAAGGAGTAGTTACAACACTTGATTAAATGAGATGATTTAGAAAAGCCAACACGTTCACATCAATCAACTTAATTAATTTTCTTAATATCTCTAAATTAGTTAGTAACTTTTATATCAAGAACCGAAGTTAGTATTTCAGTTGTTTTTATTTCTTTGTGGCATCATATTTAATAAAATTTGCTATATTGTCAATGTTTATATACTAGTTAAATAACTAATTAAAAAATTATTAAGTTAGTTATTTGTAATAAATAAGTGTTATCTTTCTTGAAATATTTTTGTAAGACAAAATGAGTTAGAGTTTGATATTTAAAACTAAATTAAATCTCTGGGAGTGGGTGTGGAGGTAGTATTTCAAAACATATTAAGTAGTATTATCAATGTTTGTGTATTTCAAAACATATTGCAAATAGCATAAAGTCAAATCATATTAACAAAATTCGTCATCCTAGTGTGGGCATGAAGTCATATTTATTTGTGTTATGACTTTGAGCCGGGTCAAACTATTGCTGCTGATCATGATGAGGACAGCAATTATCATCCGAGATTTTGAGTGATGGGGCCGATTTTCGTAACGGTAGTATAAAAGACGAGGTCTTTTGGATCCAGTGATGGCTCCGTTATTGTATAAGAGTATCTTGGCATCGTTTTACAAATTCATATAATTAATAATTTAAGAAAATGAGATAAAATAAATTATTTGATCAGAATATAGAGGAAATATGAAAAAAGTGCAAGCAAAATGAGATAAAATAAATTATTCGTCTCTTTCCTTTCATTTTAAAATTTTCCCTGCAAGGTAGAAAAATATATGAGTAGGTTTGTTGCGAAATTATATTTTATCCTAACAATTAGATTTATGGAGAAAATTATATAAAATGAGCTAAATAATTATGAGATATTTATAATTTTAATCCAATATGCTCCAAATGTCTATTTAATTGTAAAATATGCCCTTATCATCTAGTCCTTCCTATTTCTAGAGATATACCCAAATAATATATGTATTTTATCCTAACCTCAATGAATATGTTTTTTTAAGAAATGTTCTTTTAATATGGTGCACTCAAAAAAGAAAAAATAAAAATAATTACAATCCCATCAAAACAACTCATGTTCAAACTTCTTTAATATAGTGTACCTTTTATGTGAATGTCTGTTTTCAATATTGACAAAGATTTTGGCTCAATTTATTGTGTGTCTGTATAGTTTATGTGCTCTGCAAGAATTACATATTCAAATTCTTCCATCAATGTTTGTTAAACCAAATTCTGCTATCAATGTTAAGACTTTATTAATGAGTTCTAAAATTATGATTTAAGCATTCCTTAAGTTGTGAAAGTTATATGATTTTGATAAATTTAGAACTCAAACATTTAATGTTTGTAATAAAAACAATGTTTGCCATAATCTACTACTCATCTAATCCTAAATAGAAGGCTCATTTTGTAGTATAATTTATATTATAAAAAATGTCTTATATTTAAAACTGAAAGAATATTTTGATATCTCATTTTGTTTGTTATTCAGTCAAATCAAAACTAATTCTTTTAAATGAACCAATGGGGGCGCGGCCATGCCGTGTGTTGTCAATAGATCAAAAACCATATGGGAGAATGAATAAAGTTTTCAAAATCTTTTTTTTTTTTTGGGGTCTTTCGGTATGAGGGAAATTGGGGGGAGAGTAGGAAATTTTTTTTAACAAGTTTAATTTAAAAAAATTTAAAACTAGGGTTATAAAATTTTAATGAAAAAAATATATAAGATACTTCTTCAATCCTAAAGAGAAAACTCATTTTGTAGTATAAATTATATTACAAAATGGGTTGTATATTTAAGACTGGAGGAATAAAAGAGTAAGAAAAATTAATTAAAAATTTGTGCCCAAGTTCAATTTTTTAAATTTGGATTCATTAAAATTTCTCCCCTCCATTTCAAGTAAGCACTTAGCTTTTAGATAAGATATAGCCAAAATTGATGATAAACTAATCCTAGCACTACCAATAATCATCATTCATGTGCTTGCTTTTAGAGCATTTCTAGGTTCTTCATTATTTAAAAAGTTTATTCGTTACCAGCCTTTTGCTTCTGTTTTCCTCCCCGAAATTAACTTAATATTATTTTGTTTAGAATTTATTCATCAGGGGAATTGGTTTAACAATAATAGAAAAGTTTCAGAATAATGAATCGTCTGCATCTGTTGGAGATTTTTTTTGGGGTTACTTTTATATAGTTGGGCAAATTATTGATCAATTAAGAACAGTGCTACGCAATAGGGAAAATGATTGAGTATGGGCTATCATTGACAGAACTAATGACGCTATGGTATCATCTTGTTTTGAGGAAAAGGCAAGCGGGAAGAGATTTAAATATAGTTTGAAATTTGATCCTTTTTGGCTTTTGAGTATTTAGAAGTACTTTATGTATCCTTAATTGTGAGTTTACATGATTATATATGAGATTGGTTCAACCCAGGATATTATAACATAAGGAAACAAAATGGAACCAGGCCATGTTAATTTCACAACTTGAGATCATGAATATGAAAATCCAATATTTCCACTAATTACTACTCAAATACCCATATAATTATCTTAGGGCATACATAAGAATGAGCGGATCGATGTCCGATCTTTACACATTCATTTCTCAAGAACGAAAAAGTCTTTGATTTACTATTCTTACTTTGATCATCGTCATCACCCAACCATCATCACAAGAAAATCAAACCGAATTTATTCAAAACACTATTTTAATTTGTTTAAAATATTTAAGAATATAATAATCTGCCTTTAAAATAATATTCTAGGCTATATTGAAAGGGGAGGATCTGAGAGGAGGGTGTGAGAAAGGTCCCTCAATGAGAGCTGTGGCAATGTGGCGATAAGCAGCTTCAGTTAAGTGAATGCCATCCCAATTAGCATATATGGAAGGGTCTGTGCATGCCTTTGAGCCTATGTGACCACACCTCGCTGAGTTGTTGAAATTGAATGGCCCTCCTCCTCCACAACATGCTCTTAATAAAGTCTCACCAGTGAAACCTAATCCATTATTAATCAATATATGAATATATTGTAGTCATTAGGTGACATTTCGATATTTAATTAACTCTTCTAGCAATGTGGCTGTGATCTCATAGAAAGCTGTATATTATTTACTCCCTTCATTCCCTAATATACTACTACCTCTGTCCTTAATATAAAGCTAATTGATTAATCTGAGTAAATTAAAAAAATTAATTAAGTTAATTATTTTGCAATAAATAGGTGTTATCTTTCCTAAAATACTCTTGCTAATCAAGTGTATTGATTGTAACTATTATTATTACAAGGACCAACTTAGAAAAAAATGAATGAATATGAGAGCAAAGTGGATAGCAGTCTTATATTTAGGATCAAAATAAATAAAAGTCGAACAAGCTCTTATATTAAGGATTAGAGTTAGTATTTAGTAGCTAAACTCAAGGAGATCATGGAAGTTGTTTGTGTCTAATTTTTTTTTCTTTTCTTCAAATCTACCCTTTATATAATTGTCCTAATGGTTATATTACTTTTTAGAGGTTCGGAAAAATTAGGGAAAAAAAAAGCTGAAAAGTACCTATTTGGTTTTTTTTTTTGGCTTCAAAGAATTTGAATTTAGCAGATGCAACTCATCTTTAGCAGGCGCAATGTATATTTAGCTATGCGTAAATGTTTTCTGCTTTGCAAATAATTGTAGATAAATTGCTACTGAAAAAGGGTTATATACTCCGAACATGAATTGCACCTGGGTGTTTAAGTAAAATTCAAGTACTCTTTGGCAATAAATAGTTTAAATAGGTGTTTTCAGCCATTTAAATGCATGTAAAAAGGGTAACATAAAAAGCGATGGCTACACAAAAAAAAAAAAAAAAACCAATTGCATACTATAATCAAAAAGGGTCCGATGGAATATGAGTAATCATGAACTATAGTACAGTTTATTCTTCAGCCTTTGTGCTATACGGAAAAGCCTATGTCAAGTTTAACATAAATGCAAAAGAGGTTGCGTATCAAATAAATGTTTTTCGTGCATTGCAAGTAGTCTAAAGAATCAGTCATATTTTTTATAACTTACGAATAATAATTCATGATATTAAAAATTTTATCTCTTTTTACATTGGTTATGATTAGGGGACATTTGAAGTACACACAGAGATATAATGGCATGCTAAACTTTTTTTCGTGGGTATTTTTAATATTGTATAGGAATTATCAAGATATATATTGTGCTTTATAGAATTCTAGAAAGAACTATTGGAATTTATTACGTACCGAAATGTTGTGGCTTATGAATGAAACGTTTGGCTGCACCATAGTAGTCAGCATAAATGATCCTAACTTGAGGATTCTTCTTCCTGAGAGTGTCCAAGGCAAGATTGAGCTGCTTGTTATGGAACTGAGCAAAAGCATTAAAGTTTTTCAAGCATCCATTTTTATCGAAGTCCTCTTTGTTTTGGCTCATAAACAATGTCATGTACAAAGGAGAGCAACCAACTGGTAAATTCCCTGGCACTACGAGCTCCACTGCTCCTTCGGCTATCAATTCCTATGAAACATATAAAAACAAAATCAAATTAATGTACGTTTGCAAGTTCTAATAAAGCACACATATTTAGATCTCTTTTTATTATACTTTTAATTCTTCCAATTTTATTAAAATTTTAGTTGGTCGTTCTAGTTCAAAATCAAGTCATGCTAGTTAATCTTTCTTATTAATATATACATATAAATCTTAGCATGAAGGGTGCACATGTTTTTGAAATCATTCATATGAAGATGTGATGATCTCTAGATCCATTTTTCCCCTTATTTTGATAATGTTATTCTAAAACAAAAAACATGTAGAATAAATATCATTGTCAGCTAATACTCTTTTTCACTTTGAAAGAATGATTTCAATAAAAAAATAATAATAAGATCTTCATATTTATTGTGGATTGTCCAAAAACAATTTTACCTATGCATATCTTTAGCGATATGAGTCATCAAAAACATAAAAATTGGATCAATTTGACGAAGAAAAATTTAAGGGAAAACAAGTGGACATTATATATTATACGTAAATTAAATTTCAGTGTTTAGTATTATATTGGAAATTAATGTATCTTCAAACTAACAACGCTTGTAGACGATATATGAAACGTTTTATGATTTGCACGATAGATTGAAACTTAAATGTATAATATACATACACTGGTGACATTAGTTATTGCTCCAACAACTGCAGGAACGGTTGCTAGAAGCTGATTAATGTTGCCACCAGCAAAAGCGGCGTAGTTATAATCATTTCCACCAATCTCCCCGACCAGAAACAGTGATCTTTTCAAGTACCTATCACAATCTGTCACATGCATCTTCAAATACACAGAAAAATTGCTATCATGGAAATTATACAGTATGTGCTATTGCTATTATAAGGCACTTTTGTTTTTTAAAAAAAGGGTGGTATAAATCACCAAAATGGGTTATTAATTACATTTTCCAAGTAAATTAAAGTTGCTTCGGCCAAAAAAAAAAAAGTAAATTAAAGTTGCCACTTTTTCTTTTTCACTTCTCAAGATATAATTCGTGATTTTAAATGTGGATAAATTTGGGGAAAAAACATTCATTTAAAAAAAAAATTACTGCCTCTGGTCTTTAATATAAGAGTGATATAATTAATCTGGAAAAATTAAGAAAATTAGTTAAGTTGGTTATTTGTGACAAATACGTGTTGACTTCTCTAAATTACCCTATTCAATCATGTATATTGGAATTACCCCTTGATGGAAACTCCTTACAAATAATAGGGATATTTTGGAGAAAATATTATAAATTTAGGATTAAATCTAACCCCCAACTAACTCTTATATTTAAAACCGGAAGTAATAATAATTTAGCCATCTCTTGTTAATTTTGATGAGATGGTCCGATGTGCCTTATAATAGGGATATGAGGTATTTATGTTATATGAAAGTGTAAAAAAGTAAAATTAGATATAATCAGTCAATTAATGTCGATCACCTTGTCTTGTGGTGCATAGTGAGCGTTTGAACTTCTTGAACCAGTCAAGCTGAACACTTAAAGAATCATGTGTCCACAGTATCTTTCCAAGTCCTCTTTTGTAGAAGAAATCTGCATCAAGTGCAGTGGCCCCTGCCACGGCGAAATTCACCCCATGATGCCCATCTTGGCCTTTCCTTAGTTTGAGATATGGTGTCAAATATGGCAATCCATATGCCTCAGCTACAATAATAAAATTCATCCCAAATTATGTTTAATTAATTATTAATTTATTGAAGAGAGAGACAGAGAGAGCTAACCTACCTCATAATCTTTACTGGAGATTAACTAATTATTGGTAACAATATAAAACTTTAAATTTTAATTTTTTAATCAATGCTGAGTAATTGGAGGTTTTCTAATCATTATGATAATTAAAGAAGAAAACTAATGACAGGGAAGCTTTCCAATGAACTGGAGATTTTTTTTATCAATGTTGAGATCAACTCATGGAGAAAGCGTACCTATGAAATCAACAATGAGACGTCCATCAGAGCAACGACCAGTGGCATGTCGGAAGAAGGTTTCACCATAAGGAAGCTTTCCAATGACAGGGAAAGCAAGAGCACCTGAGGATAAGAAATTCCCAGTGTCACTTAAAGAGTCTCCAAAGTTGAAGATTGCCTCATATGGATGATCGCTATCACTGGGATTTGATCCAACTTCCTCAGAAAACCCCAATACGATGAAGAACATGATCATTAAGGGGACAAGGATCTTCATGGTACACTGCTAGAAAGATGAGGGTGGGAGAGCAAGAATATGCAGACACAATAAAGATTTGATACCAAGAATGGGAAAATTCATGTATTATATGTATGATGCAATGGTCTGGTTATTATAAGCAAAATTAGACTCACCACATATACCCATCCATATAGTTGAGCATTAAATGTTATAGCCTTTTGAAGATTACCTTTTTCCTCTTCGTGTGCAGTTTCATGTGTAGGACTGTTTTAATTATTTGTCAGACGATTTAATAGCTTTAGTAATATATGCATGCAATTAATTATAGTGTAGGGGGTTGGTTCTGGGGTGTGCCACAACATTGAGGGATTTTAATTTGAGACAAAGGTGCAGTTAGAAGGTTGAGAACGTTGATTATGGAGTATAATTTTAAACCGGATTAGTCTAAAACTACTCGTTGAGTACGGCATTTAATGCATTTTGTCAAATGATTAGTTGAATGTTAGGAGTTATTTAACTGGTTGTAGTTACCATTGAAATTTTTCATTGTCTTTTAAGCTTATCAGTTGACTGAAAAAGGTTTATTACTCGACTATTTCTTTTTATCACCTGGCTTTGTAAAAAGAATTTTGAAACCAGTCAAGGGAAGTTGGTTTAAGTATGGTAAAACATCTTTTCGCATCACATCAAAAAAAAAAAAAGAGAGAACTGCCTCCTAGAATTACTTTTCAATAGCTTTACAATCTTTACAACCGTAATTTATGAAATATGAGGTAAGATCAGAGATTATTTTTTTTAGACTTATATGAAACACGCTTATAAGTGCTTTTAAACACTTCCCAGACAGGCCATAAATCTTCAAGCTTTTCTCATACTTTCTTTTGTTTTGCTTCAATTCATTGATTGATCAATACTCGTACCCTAGATAGATCCCAAGTAGCTTTCATGGTTTATAGCTGAAATTATAATTGATAAGCCTAAATTTTACCTAATAATTTACCCGCATCTATAATTTGTGTGAAAGTATGACAATTATAGTTTTTAAATGATTGATTTCACACAAAGCATTATTTTGGTGCATTTTGGGGTTTCACGGAGAAGAAATAACGGCATTTGGAGCTAAAAACAATAAAAATCGATTGTCCTTAGTAATTCTTACATCTGTTCGGTATTTTGAGCATGATTTTCCCATATGATATCCCACAGAGGGGGTCTGAGATGCGTAGCAAATGTGAGATATAATAGAACTACAGGCCTGGAGAGTTTGAGAAACTTCATGAATGCTTTAAAAAGTGCTTTGAAAACTTCATAGGTTGAAAAATAGCTTCTGGAGAATAGATTTTGTGAAAAAATAATTCTAATAAAGAAAGAATGTTTAGATAATTGTTGTCAGAAACACTTTTTTAGGTTCAAATTACTAAAAAGGACATAAGTTAATATAATATTACATAAAAAATATATATTTTAATTTATATTTTTATTTGAAGTTCTTCTACTATCCTTAATGTAAGATCTAATTAATTAATTTGAGTAGATTGAGAATGTAAATTAAATTAGTTAACATGATATTTTTTTAAGACACCCTAAGCATCTTTTTTAATTTCCTTCTTCTCTCTTCTACTTGATTATTGTTGAGGGAATACTAATTAGGTCCTATATTAAAGACTGGAATAATAAATTTGTTAATAGTTCCATTTGCCAACATAATAAATAATATATAAAAATATATTAATTAATTGCTAATATGTGTGTATATATTTATAAAATATAAGATCAAATATGTTTTTAGAAAATGAAAAAAAATTTTAACCGAAAAATATTATTTTAAGTGGGGGAGGATAACCGGTCAAAAAAAAAAAAAAAGAACCAGGGAGAGAAAGAAGGAGAAATGTGAAGGCGTGAAGATGACAGTGATAGGGCAAAATATTTCGCTGACAATGATATCCAAATTCGTTCAAAAAGCAACAAAATTTTGCTCATGACAAAACATGGTTTTGATGGGCAAACCATAAAGCACTTTTGAACCAAACCAAGGTATAGTCAAAATTGGGCTTGAAGTCGCAACATGAGAACTATTGTTGCTTAACCCGTGGTTGCTAGAAATATTGTACATGATATTTAGGGGCGTTTGGATACCCCTAAAAATATTTTTCATAAATCAGACAAATTTTTTTACATATTTATTTTGTACATCGTAAAATTACTTTTAAAATTATGATTTGATTTCTATTCAAATATTCAAAGATGATGAGCACATCTGGCACTAGTCATGGGCTTAAGCCCAAAGTTGCCAAAAACACATTTTTCTAAACCCAGAGTAGCGTGAAACCTCGGTAACACACTCATGACCTAAATTTATAATAATAAATATGGTATGCCCAAACCTAACCTCAAATTTTTTTTAATAAAAAAATAAACTTATAATAAAAAAGGATTTATATTCCTAGCGCTGTGTTTCTAAATGATAACTCCCAATAATTTTTTTTTCTGATTTTGATTGAACAAAGGGGCAACATATTACATTGTTGAAAATATTTGATATATTGCCAATGGCCCTGTCACCTATTGACATGAAAACTCTTTTATAAGTGTCAAGCTGTGAATATGATTCCACTTATAACATCAAGCTGTTACTGTCTATCACTCCAATTAAACAAAATATCTGATATAATGCCAAAATTTTCTGGATTATTATGGATTACCAATAGGTCACTTCTATAATAAAAAGAGGAGTGTGTATGTAAATGGTAAAGGCGGCCACCCATATACGACATACGAACACACTCATCATGTGGGCAAAATTAACTAGTTCTTGCCAATAAGGAGTAGTATAAGACGTGGATGAGGATCAACGACAAGCACTTTAATCTTAATTGATCCAAAATCTCCCTTTTCAATTTAAGAGTCCAAATAGATAAAGCATTAATCTATCAATACGGTTATCTAAGTTCTTGGCGCCTTGCTTCAAAGTGCTCAAAAAAGCACAACAGGACAGACACAGACCAAAAAAGTTGACGTCCTAATTTTTAGTCCCCACTCGAATTATTTTATAAAACTCGAAAAGTTGAGCACCTTTATGACCTATATATACATGTGTGTGTGTGTGACCATATCCTACTTTATTTTCTTGGATAAAACAATCCTAGCATTTTTCAAACCCCTAAAGAGAAATAATGGCGAAGCTGGGTTTTTGTTCCTTCACTTTCCTCGTACTGCTTTCTAGGTTCATGTCGTTGTCCCTGTCGGAGACTCGACTGTTGAAAAATGATGAGCATGCATCTTCATTGCATCTTCACGTCAGATTTCACTTTATCAGTACTAGTACAAAGCAATACTTTGATCTGGAACGTGGAAGCTTAATGAGTTCATCAGATGATAATGGTATTGATGGAAAGCCCAGAACACACCGTGTGAGTCCAGGAGGTCCCGGCGAACATCATCACAAGCTTAAATAACTGGGTAGGTCCTTATATATGCTGCATAGAATATAAAGAATGAGCTGTACACTATTTAAAAATAATGACTTTCAGATTTTAAATATCATGTCAGAATCCAGTCTCGTTTTAGTGTCCGAAGGTTTAGATTGTTACCTCGTCCCATCTTTTTCAGCTTTTATCTTTGCATGCATGAAGTCAGAAAAATTGTTGCTTCCCTCCGATTTTGTATAACCGCAACTACTAAGTACCAATTTCAATTCCTAATTATTTGCATTTTAAACAATCTATCTCATTCAAATTTCGAGCTGAAAACTTTTGATATATGCCACACGCACACACATCTCTCTGAGAAGTACAACTACAATGTATATGGAAGAGCTGATGACTACAGTACTCTTTAATACTTTTAATGGACTCGTAAAGTTTGAGCGTACCGGATCATTCTTTCAATTATAAATGTTTGCGGTCTTTTTTTAATTGGATTGTTAATTCTCCATTATTCTCTTTTGGTAATCAATTGCTACAGATTTCGGCTTCCATCAAACAACTGGCGCATACCGGTAACTCAGTAGAAGGAGCAACTGTAATCATTATCTAGGCTATGAATGTTTTCTGCAAATTGTTTTCTAATTGAGATGCCGTTGTTGTTCATCCTTTGTCTTATGTTTTTTATAATTTATCTTTTTGCAGCTCTTCTTCAGCTATTTACATAGAATGTTACATCTTGCTTATTAATATCATCATTTGATCTTTTATTTAAGAAAGACAACTACGACTAAAAAATAGTAAGATGCTGCATTCTTTAGTGCTTGTTTTCAAAATTCACGTACATTTATGTTTTTATAAAAAAGAGCATCGAGTAGTCAGTAGTGTCTATGGTTTATCCTAAATATCATGCAAATACAAGGAAGTGAAGGAACCAGGCAACCAGCTCTAGTTATAGCGCAATATCATTTAAATGTGAAAAAACACATAAAAATGCAAGAGCAGACATATTAAGTTAAGCTCTTTGAAATTCTATAAATATCCTTACATTTTACAAAAATAAATTATTCCTGTGAAAAATAAGATGAAGAAGGTTATTCAACAATTATTTCATGTTTATCATTTATATATTTTAACAAATCTTGAATATATATTTGAATCGTATAATAACTTTTAATTTAAAATATAAATTAAATTTATAATTTTTATTGCAATAAAAATAATAATTTTATAAATTAGTTTTAATAACTTAAATCTCTAAGAAAAACAACATTATTGTCACAAAAAACATAAATTGAGTAAGATAAATAGAATCGAATCTATGATCAATCTCTTGTAAAAGAGCTTTCATGTGATTAGACTACCATGCCATTCATAGTTCTAGGTTCTTCGTAAAATTCTTTCTATGACATTGTTTGTCATTGACCGAGAAATGAGGATAGAGTGAGGATGATAAATATTAAATGAGAATAATCCTGGTTTAATTTAACGGTCTAAATTTTATTAAAAAAAATCTTAAATTAAAATATTTTTTATTTTTAAATTGTGCCTTTTATGCAAAATAATACTTCTGTACCTAGCAAGCATTGTATAAATACTTTATGACGGCAAATTAAAATCCATCCCTTTGAAAATTACCTGAAAAGTATCATACTCCATCTGCCCCTTTTATGAAAAACAATCATTTTCATA